TTATTATAACATAATAAGTGTTACATCGGATAGCTGTTGGAAAACAATTATATTCTCATTAATAATCAAAACATAAAATATATAATTAATTTCTAAACATGTCGTCCGATAATAATAACGATGACGGCAGGAGTCCGTCCCTATGGGTCTGGTTGGCCGCCATAGCGGCCCTCATGTCCGCCATGTCTATGGGCACCACATTAGGTAAGCAATCATTGAGTTTTAAAAAATAATTTATATATACTTTTCCACCACTAAAATTTATTTATTTAATAATATTCTATATACAAAGTACTGTACAGTAGTAGTATTAAAATGTATAGATTCCGTACATTATTACTTTTATGATATTGATAAGATTTTTCAGTAGACTTCTAATTGGATTTACAAATTCAATATGATTAATAAATTAATTTAGTATGCAGAATAAAATACTAAAAAATTTGCATCGTTGCCCTTATAATAGTATTATGATTTAAACTCCTATTTTAACAAAGAGTACCTATTTTAAATGTAGTTAGCAGGTTTAATATTTTTATCAAAAAACTTTACTTTCCCTTCATATACTTAGCCCTTATTTGAAATATGTTAAAAAAATTAATATATCTCAAACAAATAGGATGGAGCGCACCGGGAGTTCCCGACTTAAAAAACGACACGAGTATGCCTCACATGGACGGCGAGACCGAGACGTGGATCGGATCGTCCATGAATTTGGGAGCACTGGCTGGTGGACTGTTAGGCGGTATGCAATTGCCATTCAATAACTCAATGCAAAATATACACATTTCTATACAGAATCGTATCAATCAATAGTAATATTCATTGCATTTCAGGCCCATTGCTACAGATGTTGGGCATGAAAAAGATCTTGATCGGTTTGGGCGCACCATTTATCGTGGGTTGGGTGCTCATCATGTAATTTATGATAACTATTTAAAATATTATAAAAATCTAAACAATTTGTCACTCATTTAGTGTGGCAAAGGGTTTCGCACTCATAATAGTTGGCAGAGTTTTAACAGGTTTTGCGGCCGGAATTTCATGCGGTAATTGTCGCTATATTTCACACAAATTTCAAAAACTAAATACAAATACAAAACTAAATCTAATTTATATTCTCATAATTAATGTCATACCATAGGTGTGGCGCCGACATACTGTAACCACATATCAACACCTAAAATACGAGGAATGTTGGGCACCGGCTTTCAAGTAAGCATTAAATTCTTGAGATATCTACAGAATATTCTTTAATGAAAAATTATATTTTACTAGCTTTTCGTGAATATCGGCATATTATATATGGATCTGTTCGGACTGTCCCTGAGCTGGAAAATCATATGCATCTGCGGACTCATACCATCGGCGATCATGTCTGTGGGCATGTTATTCATGCCGGAGTCGCCCCTATGGCTGATGAGTAAACACGGCCGCAGTTCCCAAGTGGTGGACGCCCTCCGGAAACTCCGGTCCGACTCGAGTGACATCGAGACGGAGCTCAAGGAAATGGAGGACAACGCCGACAAGTCTAAGGAGAACTCGGGCTTCTCTATGGGACAGTTAGCCCGGCCCGACATCTATAAGCCATTCATCATCGCAAACGCGTTGATGTTTTTCCAGCAATTTTCGGGCATAAATGCCGTCCTATTTAACTTGAAACAAATATTCCTCGATTCGGGCTCATCCATGGACCCGATGGTGAGCACCTGTATCGTATCGGCGGCAATGGTGTTCTCCTGTCTCGGCGGCAGTCTTATCATCGACCGGTTGGGTCGCAAAATACTACTCTTAGCGTCGGGTGTGGGCCATGTGGTCACTCTGGGAGTCCTCGGCTACTACTACTACAGCAAACCGGACTTAGGATGGCTGCCACTCGTGTGTCTCGTGGTGTTTGTCATCGCATTCAACCTCGGCTTCGGACCCATACCGTGGATGATAGTGTCGGAGATCACCCCGAGTAATGCCATCGGTGCCATCAGCGCCGTCGGCACCGGATTTAACTGGATGTTGGCGTTCGTCATAACCAAGGAGTTCGCGGCCGTCCAGGAGGCCATTCACCCGTACGGCGCCTTCTGGTTGTTCGCCGGGTGTTCGGCCGCCTCTGTCCTCTTCACTCTGCTCTTCGTTCCCGAAACCAAAGGCCGATCGCTGGAGGAGATGAGCCGTATATTTAGGGGACAGTCGGCTGATGGCGATGATGATTGGGAGGGCATCGACACCTCCAGGGGAACGCATAAAGATCCGTATATTAACAATAAAGATGTGACGAGTATTTAATTGTCGATAAGATTTAGGGAAATTTTTTTTGCATATATTATTAGGGATTGTGTTCATTGGGAGGGTATTTAGGATTGTGGGGGTGGTTGCCATCACATAGCCTTTTAAAGGGTACACATTAATTACCCCCATTTCCATGATGGCTCTCTCGATAGGCTTTAATTATAATTTAATTTTCATTTATGTTTTTCATTTTAACAAATAATTTGTAAACATTCATTTTAATGCTAAATCAAAATGGTATTTTTGTTTTTATTTGAGTATAATTATGATTAATTTTAATATTGTGTATATTATAAGTTATAATTAAGTTCTATATAAATTTTATATATAATAATTGTTATATATTTTTAAGTTTTGACATATATTTTCATGAATTTGATGTATATTTTTAATATAAATATTAACTGTGAGTATACTAAACATTTAGAATTTTATTTTTAGTATTAAATAAAATATTTTATAAAAACAATTCATTACAAAAAAAACTAAAACCTTTGTCTCGTTTTGCCCTTAAATACAATACATTTCCTGAACTCCATCTCCTGTGCCTCCCGTCTCATAATTTCCTGTTGAACCTGATGTCTGATCTCCTTTTCCCAGTCATGAC